GTAAACATACACGTGAACTATCTTTGTTGGGATAGTCTTACTTTGTTCTCCTTTGTATAGTTTGCACAATCAGAGACCCAGACACACACTGCAGGTTTCAACGGGCCATCACACGCAGTGTTAATAATATAGGATTTTTAAGCGCTAAGTGTCATCTTAGAGAGTCTCAAAGGGATATCTAAAAGCCCATCCTGCATTTTATTAATTCTTAGAAAACATAACATTCATTCATCTGGTAGGCAAGTTCAAGGTCACACCAGGGAAGATGAGATGACCATAAACTGAATTAAATGTTTGAAAATGTAGTTCCTTCTCTGTGCTCCTGTGTCTCTTCAGAGTTGGAGCAGAAGAGCTGCCTGAGGAGGTAAATCTACCTCACGGACGAGGGAATGAAAAGAAAATAATCTTTAAAGTACAAACACTGATCTTCAAAAGTTATGAACACTAAACCAACATTGCTGTTGTAGTAACTATGGTCACTACTGATTTTAAACAACTGAGTTATAAATTCCATTTGCAGTCCCTCTTTCCTGCCACACAATATTTCTTATCATTAAGCATAAGATATTTATTTTGATTTCTAAGCTTTTTAAAAAGCAGAGGGCATTTGTTTCCTCTGGAGAAAGGCAATGCTTCTTATCCAGAAGAGCAGGTAAATTGCATTTGGAGTCTTCCCGAATACTAGCTAAAGAAGTAACATCAGCACAGTCACAAAAGAAAACAAAACCAACCCTGCCTCACCCCCCCCCCAAAAAAAAAAAAAAGAAATCTGTGTTTTTCCTTTATCACAGGTCAATTATCATAGTGTATGGAGAGCTGCCAAAAACCACTGCCATGTTCAGACACTAAAACTTGCATTTTATTTGCCTGCAGTTGCACTGCACAATGAAGGGAGCGTTAACACCCACTCCCCAAGACAAAACATGACCTCCCCCCAAAGCAACGGGTGACTGATTCACTGCGTTGTTTTTTTTCTTTCAGGGTAACTATTACTTATATTTTGTCCCAAATGCTATTTCTCTAAAATGCTCTGATTGCAAAGTATTGATTTTTCTTTTCCCCCTATTCCTCTTCATCCTGATCTACCAGCACAGATAGACAGATCTGGCAAAGAGAATAATGAAGCACAATTTAATGTTTTTCAGGTTAGGACTTCAAATTTGACCAGCATTTGCCCTGTTTCTATTGTCTCAAATAAAGGTGCTACCAAAAACATCACTGTAGGAGCCTAGAACTGCAAAGATTCCAGAATTTAAAATGCAAGCATGTGGTTTCCTCAGCAACCTGGAACTTGTATTTTGGTGCCTACTGGGTATCAGTAGTGATGCCAATTGTTATGTTAATTTTTCAGATCTTTGTTGCTCATAATCTTCTGTGCCTTGTGTTTGATCCCTAATCAGCCAGTAAACATTCATTACATTATTCTTCTGGATTTCAGAATGACCAAAAAATATACTTTTCTAGTTCACCACCTTTAATCAATACAACAATGATATTAATAGCTCATAAAACAAACTATGCAGTGGCCTGTGTTAATGTATGCAAACAGAGACCCAATAGTAAAGGGTGCATTTTAAATTATTTATGTTTCAACAACAGAAATTGCAGAAATTTAGTGTAGCACAATTTTGGGCACCACACCAAACAACTTCTTATAGTGTCATCAGAAGAGGTGACTACACATCTTAAAACAGTCACAGAAAATTAAAAAAAATATATGAACAAAAGTCCAAATGCCCAGTACATCCATTTAACATTTTGCTATGGTTCCATTACTAGTAGAGGTGATCTCTCTATATTTCAAATGAAAGTAAACAACTTTTCCTAAATGGGTAAATTATGCAAATTAATGATTTTTTCCCAATAAATTCTTTTCTTTTCAACATCTTTATAATTTTAGCTTTTGTAACAAATTTTCTTTTTAGCTAGCATTCAAAAAATACCAGTGTTCAAAATTTAGTTCATTAGAGTACCCACTTCAAAATTATTCTCAAATCTGAGTATATGTTTGGGGAAGAGTACTTGGTAAAAATGAACAGTATCTACTAATCTGATTCTTAATTTGGTTAAATTCCTTCAACATGCCAACATTTGTGCCCCATGCCTCCTCCTAACTGCAAGCAGCAGTTATAGGATGATGATGCTGCTTCTAAATATCCATAGAAAAACATTTCTTAACACTACACAACTGGAAAACCATTTTTGTACCACACGTCTTTCATAGTCGTGGCACTGTGTTCATTTAAAATGCCTAAGTACCACTTAAATCATGTTGATAAAACAAGCATTTAATATCAGATAACTAAGCCAGTAAAAAAAAAAAATACTACTATCTATGACCTCTAAAGATAGTTCAAACTGTACCATCCAGATCTTCAATTAGAACATACCAATTAAAACCTGATCTGCCTGAACATACCTGTTTATAATCAGAGGGAAGAACAAAAAGACTACTGTGCATGGAGACAAAAGTTTAAAAGGCTGCACTTTTTTTTTTTTTTTAATGAAAATAAAATTCTGAACTGCCCTGGGAGGTCTGAAAGACAGCACTTGGATAAAGCAGAAAACAGGCTATGTACTTTAAGAACAAGGTGCACTCTAGAAATCCAGAAAAGAAAAAGTAAATCAAAGTGTACAAGCTTTAAGAGAAAAACATTTACATGAGAGGAGCTACAACCTTCTAAAGTTCCAGGCAGAGGGCAGAAATAGTTATTTGTACAGTTAAAAAAGAACACGCATATATATGAGATAAAAATGAAACTTCATAATTTTCTCTAGCACCTGAAACAGATTTATGCAAGTTCTCGTGACATTCAGAGTATATAGAGAAAATCAGTTCTGTTCTTCCTTAGGTATTTTCTTAAGCTCTGCTTTTCTGTGGAAAAATGCTAAAGAGAACACGAAAATGCAAAGCCGAATCTACAGAAAATCCCAAACCTAGTCTTAGATTCCAGGTCTGGCGAACCACTTAACAAAATTCAGTTAAAGATATCAATTCTAAAACTTTAAAGGACTGAATTTGTGCTCATTTACCCTACAGAAAATAAAAAGAAATTCCATATTGCACCAAAAATCTCAGATAAAAGTATTGTCAACTGGATCACCCATAAAAATATTCTAGGTTTGCTAGTTATAGAAACTGAAAAAATAATCTTTGGATTTAAAAACTTCATAATTTAACTGTTCAGTTCAAGGGAATGGTTCCAACAACTTGAAGGCTGAAGCAAATTCAAATCTCTACATGTGATTCAAGTTATCAGCAG